TGGTACTTACTCTTCAAAAGTTTTAAGTTCTTATTCTAAATTTGGAACCTATGGTTCTGAAATTGACAAACGTGTTCTTCCATTCTATTTGAAGTTGTTGAAATAACAGTTTTTTTGTAAGTTGTCACCTCAGAATTTAAAAGCTAGCCTTAAAACTGGTTTTCCTTGTTTAAAATTATGTAAGACAGCAATAGTGGTTTGTTTGACAAATATTTTCAATGTGCTGAATACTTGCTTTTTCACTACCTGACCATAATATCTGATGCTTCTCCTAATTTTTTCCTTTCTTCTACTTGCTGTAAAGCTGACCCTCAAGCCTGTCTTCTCCACATGTTTCCTACTTCCTTTCCTCATTCAGCAGTTTTATTTTTAGCTGGATTATTTCAGCTCAGAATGACTAGAGAAAACTATAGGGAAGTTGAGAGAGGAAAAACAGGCACAGCCAGGGTCTGCAGGTAAATTTATTATCTTCATGGACTCATTATTTTGCAGCAGCTGCAATTTCAGCATGAGTTCTTCTTTTCAACGCATCAGTCTTCATAACGTTTTGTTCCTCTGTGGCATTTTGCGTGCATGTATTCTACTTAAAGTAATTCATTAATGTTAATTTCCCAGACACAACACACAATCTTAATGAACACTTCAAGCATTGGAATTTTCCATTTCACTTCAGATAGCTCTGGGAAATGTATCCTTACCATAGGAGGCTTTGTGTCTTCTGTGGTTTAAGACTGGGAGTTCTTTACTAGTATATAAAGAAATGTGAGTAGATCAGTCTTGAATTTCTCTGATTGTAACCAAATAATGTTCTAGAGAGAGAAATCCTTGTAAAATAAAGTGATTATGTTTTGGAAAAAGATAATTCAATAATGCTCAGAAGGGAAATAGACTATAAAAATGTAAATATCTACAATATAAAGTAAATTTAAAAATTAACACTAGAGAGCTGCTGAATACACACAGTATTGACAGTGTTACCAATAATAAAATAAGGTTGTACGTTGGTTAATAAAGGAATTGTTCCTGCACTTCAAATTATTTCCCACTCCCTCCCTTCCCCCACCTCCCTGCCCCAGTACCCAATAACTAAGGGTACATCTACACTTGCACCCTAGTTCGAACTAGGGATGCAAATGTAGGCGACCGAAATTGGTAATGAAGCAGGGATTTAAATATCCCACGCTTCATTAGCATGGGATATTTAAATCCTTGCTTCATTAGCAATTTTGGTCACCTACATTTGCATCCCTAGTTCAAACTAGGGTGCAAGTTTAGATGTACCCTAATTCAGTCAAACTGATTGAGCAAATGATGGGCCAGTTAATCTGGAGATGAGCTGGTACTTTGTGAGCAATTGATGCTAATATTGATAACAATGGATCAGATTCTTAAAAGTCCAGAAAAATCTGTGGTTTCCATTTAAATCAATGCAAGATGCGGGTGCTCAGAACTGCTCAGGATTCCAGTGTTTCCAACAATAGCACCAGGTTTGTAAGTATGCCTGATTCATTTTAGGAAAGAAGATGAAACCATTTATAAACTTTATTTATGGGTAACATTACATCATTCCTTGTGCTGAATCATGAGCATATATAGACTTTGCATAAAGCAGTTGTTTTTGTAAAACTCCATACCAATGCTAACAAATTATTTCCTCCAAGATAAAACAAAACGCTTATATTAAACACATTGCTTTATAAATTTAAGTACTATAAATACTTTCCTTATCTACTTTTAACAAACTGTGTTACACCAGTGAAAACTAAGGATCAGGTTAGCTGGGCTTGCCCTCCCTCTCATGACACTCCCTGTGTTCATCCCAACCACTTGAGCTGGAGTTCACCAAATTTATTCACAGGAATAACCAATAGGCCCCTGATTCTTTGGAGGAGAGGCTGGTAGCTTTAGCTGGAGCAGTGGAATCTATTCGGTAGGCACCAATACAGATCCCTTTGGACTGGGATCCCTGAAAATAATAGACTAGTTTGTTTTCAAGATCCTGATTTAGACTGTCTGCTTTATGGTACACAGTACAGTAGTAAGTGTGGACCATACTTAATGACTTAGTATCAGAACTTCATGTAATGTAAGGTTTGATATTTCATGTTGTAAGCATCAGCAGGTCAAGCATTCCAGTAGTCTGTGAAATATCAGGGTTGATGTGAAATATCAGGCTACTCCTATACCAAAATTTTAACCATATCTCTTGAACTGGTACCCTGTGTAGCTGGGTTCTAATCAAACGCCAAAATGAGGAAGTTGTGACGTGCTATTCTGATGCCTGCATCTGTGGGGGAGAGTCTTAAGCCTCAACCTTCATCCATTGCTGCACACAACTAGTTTGAGCATCAGAGCCTTAATTAAATTCTCAGTTTGTTTAAATTCTATCTCAAATAAATATAGCATTCCTCTTCCACCTCCCAATAAAATGAAGGCTTGTCGGCTGGTTGTCATATTCAAAGGGCAGTTCTGGGCAAAGTAATAATGAGAATTTTTATCTGGCCAAATATATGGCTCATTAATCCATTAAAATGTTAAATGAGAATCTTAGGTAGCCTTGAGTCAATTGTGAGCACATCATCTCTTGTAAAGTTTAAAAAAAAAAAAAAAAAAAAGGTGTTAAGTGGCTCGATGTGCAAATTGTGTTGTTTGTCCTTATCTATGTAGTGTTTGACACACTGATACAGACTATTTCTTATCGACTGTAGCTATTCACAGTTTTTAAGTTTTATTTATCCTATTTATCACTGCTGTCCAGTCACGTTCCTCACTAACTCTACTATGTACTCAACATTTTTCCTTATTTATATTCCTACTGGTATATGTACTTTGAATATTTAATAGCTGATTTTCAGATGGTAAAGAGAAATACACATGCTATTAAGCCATTCATCACAAGAATATTCAACACAATTTCCTTGATGTCACTCAAGTACAGTACTCTTGCATAATGTTGTCTAAGATTTGTTCATGTTTGGTTTATTTAATCTGAATGAGTTACTATTTACACACATCTAACAATAACTAGTGCATGCAATAGCGTTGTGTCATTGTATTTTGTGTCTAATTTATAATCATCATAAAACAGACACTTTCTGGTTCTCTAATATGAAGTATTGAGTTTTCATTTTCTTTTACAGACTCAATTAAATTTGCTCCTTGAAAAGCTTCGCAGTACTGTAAGTATAAATATATATATGAATGCTGTATTTTTCCTTATCACCCCTCTCATGCTAACCAAGCATTTTGGCTTATCTTTATAATAATAATAATAATAATAATAAATAATAAGTAGTCAATTAAAATAATGTTTTGCAACTTGATGGCATTTTTGAAGTGTATTGCTACATGGGTGCTGAATATTATTAAATTCAGAGACTGAATATTAAAGTTATCAATTCATTGAAATGAAAAGTTTTTCTATATTGTAGCATGGAAATTTTGCAATACAGATAAATTGCATTAATATTAGCTTTACCAAATCTCCATTTCATATCCTGAGCATTTTCCGTTCCTCTAGTTTACTTGCTTCACATTGATGGGTAATTGACCATCTTGTGTTTGGTCTATTTTTGTGACTGGATTTTGAATCACTGTATATTTTTATCGGCAGTTGACTCATGAACAGCTATGGATTTGAACAAGTTATAGGAGAAAAATCTTAATTCCGATAATTTATTTTAGAAGGGCATTTTATTTTTCCATCCCCTTTTCACTACACAGTCGCATTGTCCAGTGTAAGAAAGGATCTTAGCAAAATCTAGGGATTATATGTGATACATTCATGAAGATGAATTGGTAGCAGGAAATAAATCTTATACCACCACCTGCAACTTTCAGTGTTAAAATTAGTTCATGTTCACATCTTCATTCACTTTCCCTTAAATCATGTGATTTGTTTCTGCTTCTCTCACCTACACCCCTTAAAACTCTGTCTAGTGGTGATCCTTCTACCATAGCCTGTCAGCATTGTTAGTAGATGGAGGAGTTCACTTGACATATTTACATTTTGGGTCCACGATTTTGATAAGCATATTTCCTGTTCGTTGTAAATTCTGTTTTGGTTGATTTTTATGCAAACAGTTACAGGATACGAGGCATGGGTTTCAGTAAAAGATACTGATTATAACTCCAAATAGCTAATACGCTTAAGTGTTAGAAAGGTTTGCTGCATTAAAACGCTTCAAAGAAGCTCTTGAGCAAAATTAATCAATTTTTAAAGACCTTTAGTTCATGGGTGAAAGACAGACATGACTAGCCAAAGTTTCACAGCCCTTTGGCTACATCTTCTGGGCTTCTGGATTTGCACAGACATTTGTTTAATTTTAACTTCTTAATTGTTAGCTCCATGAATCATTTGTGGATCCCTCAGTATCTAGTTCAGGCAGTGATCTGTTAAGAATTTGGCTAAAAAGCCACTATAGCTTTTCTGTCTTTGCTTCTCTGTAGAATTGTATCAAACAGTCTACTCTTGCAAGTACTCCATTAATGTGTACTCTATTTCTTAGAACCTCTGATGTGCAAGATACTTCTTCCTTATATAATTGCAGGCTGAGAAATATTCTCTATCAAAATAATTGCATCCCTTGTCATTAAAGAGCTCACTTCATGAGAGGGCATCACAGCTGGTTGTGTCCTTATACTCTGTGTTGTATATAAATTTAGCAGCTTCCTACTCCATGCTTTCTCTCTCCTATGTTTGTCTGTAAGAGTCTTTAAATTTCTCTCTGCCTTCTGCATTTTTAGGTGCTTTTCTTCAGTGCTGAGGTTATAGAAATTAGGGTTTCTGTACATGACAAGTGTAATTCAATCTATATTTCATACATTTTTAATCTGGATAATAAATTCTCTTTTAGGTTTCAGAGAGGTAGTTGTGTTAGTCTATTTCAATCGCATCTTAAACACTAACAGTTTTATGATGGCATAAGTTTTCATGAGTTGCAACTCACTTTGTCACATGTATGAAGTGAAAAAAACAGATGGAACGGATACAGAGATGGGAGTGTTACATCAGAGCTAATTCAGCCCTGGTGGATGTAGCCTACTTCCAACCATGAGATGAGAATTAGCTCTGGTGTAATACTCCCTTCTATGTATCCCTGCCATCTGTTTCTTTCATTTCATGTCTGTGACAAAGTGAGTTGCAACTCATGACAGCTTATGCCATAATAAAATCCTTCTTCATTTTCTGGAAGATTATCCATTAGTACTGAGAGAATTTAGTTCAGGAAATAGATTGCAGAGTTAGTGGTGTGTTACTTCACTTTTCACTGAGTCATAGTTGCAAAATTTGTAAATATATAACTTCACATTCTCTCTAACATGATGGTTGGAGGAAACAATCATACTGAGTTATATTTAAACTTTGGGGAATCGACAACTCTACAAATAGAGGGGAGGAAACATTATTTTAGCCAGTGCAATTTCTTTAAAAAGAATTAAATGTACTAAATAATCCTGCTTATTTAAATGAGACCATAATCACTACACTTTGTTTTGATCTAATTGCTTAAAAACAAGGTTTGACCATATAGACTAAAATGTAATGGTTCTCTATATCATAACTGCTTTCTAAGCTTCAGAATGATGGAGTGTCTCTTCCTATCTTCAGTATTATTTTAGTAAATGTCTTCAGATACCTTGGCAGGAAGACCAAAATTCTTGTTTATACAAGGATAGTGTACAAAAATGTGCAAAGCACTTCTCAGACATAACAAAAGACAGTCCATGCTCCAAGTATGTTTTGTCCCGTTCCAAATTTAAAGCTGGACTGAATGACCAGGTGAAAAATTCCTCTTTCCTATGGAAATCTTAGAACCAATATAGGCAAGTGTTCATCTACCCTCTTTCAGCCATTGACAGATTCAAGGGCTTTTTCTAAGGGATGGGCACATGGCCAGTGGCCTTAGGGTTACCATGACTGTGGGCATAAATGTGATATACAGCTACCTTTGCCCCATGCTTTCTTTTCCTCCCTTGTCCCCCAGGACTTTGGAGCACAATTTTATAAATTGACTATACCTGAGATTTTGACCCATAGTCAAAGTGGTCATGGTGAGCATAGTCCTGGGTCATATTTATCTCTGTTTTATTCTAACACATAACATGAATGGGATTTAAAAAAAATGTCTGGGAAGACACTGATCTATTTGGGCTTGTGAGCAAGGGTTTGAATGGTTTGAAAAGGAAAGTGTTGAAGGATGAAAGAAATGGAGAAAAAGATGGTTGGAAGAATAAGGAAAGATGTAGAGAAATAGTATGAGTTGCTTATTTCTTTCAAGGAAGATGATTGTAGTAGTGGAGATAGAATACAACTAGACTGATACAATAATAACTGGATTTGGTTGGTGGTAAGAATTTTTTTTTATGAAAAGACAGCGAGGTTCTAATTAGGGATGTAAAATCCCAGTTAATCAGTTAACTGGTTAAACTTTTGGTTGACCTAATGTTTAACTGGTTAACCAACTACAGCAGGATCTAGGTTGGGGATCACTCCTAGCCCCTGGGCTCCCGCCAGCTCCCAGGCCCACGCTTGGGCTTGGGCCGCCATTGGCTGCCAGCCCGTAGTCTCCCCACAGACAGCAGCTGCTTCAGATGAGAGCAACCCCTGCACGCAGCAAGTGGGGAGCTGCTCCAGGCCCCTCCGGTTACTGGTTAACTGGAACCAGTAAGTATCACCTGTTTAGGGTGATGCTTACTGGTTAACCTTTCACATCCCTAGTTCTGATGGACAGTTTGAGCTTTGAGATCCATGACTTGAAGATGTTGAGTACAAAATGGTTATGAAAAGACTGAAAAGCACAAAAAGTCAGGTGTTTTTTTTTTAAAAGAAATCTATTACTTTTACTTTGTTGTGTAATTCTTAAATGATCACTTATTTCAGAAGGTTTAAATTTATGAAGATTCTGGTAACTTTCTGTCCTCACAATAGGGGTCAAGTTTTATTCGCTGCATCAAACCTAATTTAAAGATGACAAGTCACCATTTCGAAGGGGGACAGATTCTCTCTCAGCTTCAGTGCTCAGGTAATGAATGCCTCTTACTGATTTCTGGTCTATTTATTTATTTGTGTGCATTACTGATTCACACAAAGCTGGAATGTCTGTCACTGAAACAATGTTTCCTTCATTAGAAAAATATTGCTGTTCATAATGAGCTCTAATTACATTAAATGATTTATATCTAATAAAAATTGATTTTGACTGTCCATAATCAGATGATCATATTTTAATAAAGACAGTACAGCCATCATATTTTATACTTCTCCAGATTAAACTAAAACCTGGTAAGCACTATGCACTTCACAAAATTAAAATATACAATACAAATTTCAATTCACAATGCATAGCATAAGCTTGCCCACATAATACTTACTCAGATAAGAAAGAGTCTTGCAAACCCACATCCGATCACTCTTTAATCCTCTCCTCTTTCTCCCAAAATACTTGAAAATAAAGATGAACTTTTTACAGGTTGAACTTCTCTACTCCAGCAGTCTCTGGCCTGGTAACATCCTAGTTCTGGCATGATTTTAATTAGCTAGATGTCTAGTTACTATGGGTGTGGCCAAGTTTCCTGTGACACCCTAACATTTGTTTACAGCCACCAGTCCTGGTGCTCAGTGTCCTGTGCTAATATCTGCTCTAATTTGCCTCTAAATGTCTTCTAAGAGCCCAGTAAGCAGGGGAAGTGTTGGTAATGCTGCTAGATAATATTGACCTCCTGTGGTTCAGCAAATTCTCTGATTCAGCGCTGGTAAGATCCTGAGGGTGCCAGACTACAGAAGTTCATCCTGTAATGTGTCCCAAAAGAGGAACTAAGAAGGGAGCATGAGTTTCAAAGTTGAAGACAATTTACAAGGAAAAAGCTTTTTTCGAAAGAGGCTTATAGTCTAGACATACCCTTAGTGGGTCTTTACTAGATCCACTAAATTGAACACCAGAACATTGAATGCCTCAGCATCTATCTTCCCTCAAGTGAAGAGGTGGCCTAAGAGTGGAAGATATATACCAAAAAAGGATATCCTGGATCCTCTGCCTCCCCTCCTCCCATGTTGCCTCTCAGTCCTTAATGAGCAGCTCCAGTAGAGAAGACACAGTGATGTTTTGAGGTCAAATTCTATGTCAGCATAAAGGCAGCAGCTCAGTTCAGATCAGAACTACTTTATCTATAAGTCGCTACAATAATTCTGCACGTTGCTAGAAATATGACTGTGCATCCAAACAGAAGCAGTCTGAATTTACAAGTACCTACAAACTGAGAAAGTTCCATCACCTGCCACACTACCGATAGCATGTTAGATGCAAACAATCCTTACTTCCACCTCCATGATCATGACATAAGGGCTCCAAAAATTTTTTTTATGCTGTGACTGCTCTGATTTGGTGTGAGATGTCTGCCATTTGCACTTTTAGTCTTTCATATGAATTCAGCTCTTACAGATAATCTGTAAACAAGAGTGACTTGTGATAGTAAAGTTGCAAAGCAACTTGTTTAGGTGCAGTTGTATCATGGTCAAGTACTGAAGCTCATTTGGAGTTCCACTCAATTATCAGCTGAATTTTCTGTTGGCTAAATAGTATCTCCATGAGAGCTCTCTGGTTCCATTACTATCTGAGGGTATAACAGAACAGGCAAGGTGTCCTCAAATTGAAGCAGGTAAATGCAAAATGCATCTCACCTGCCATGACACATGCCATTATTATGCTATATGTATTATACTGGTCTGTAACATGGGCATAATCTCTACTTCCTCAAGGTTCAATCTCAGTCCAAATATCAGATGTTTCATATGGTCCCGTGCAGTGAGTTATTCCAGAAATCTCTTGGGGATCCCATCATTGTCATCTGTCTTTGTGCAGAAGATTGTCATCTGAATGGACCCTGAAATTCTACTGTACCATCAGTTTCAGTGACTTCAGCAATCCAGCTTGTCAGTTTAGCTGGGACGTCTGCAGTGCACTTGAGCTGATCCATTGAACTAAACCATCTAAATCCTGCCCGATAACTCAAATGTAGAGTGGGTGCAAGCAATCCAGTCTAGTTTTTTGAATGATGCTGCATGGTCATGAATCTGAAAATACAGGATCCTTTCAAATTATATGGTATTGTTTACAGATTTGTGCCACCTCGTGCATTATTATGGTTGATACAGATGCTTTACTGAGCTGCTAGAATGAATTTACTCCTAGAACGTCATGGTGCCACGATGTAAATAAGCCAACAATATTAAATTGTATCATTCTTCGTAAGCACGTTATGCACTTTTCTGTCCAGGTGTTCATTTCCATTATTCTTTTCTGGTTTTGGTAGTTATTTTGCTATAGAAATTCCTGGTTCAGCATCGGTGTTTTGGCAAGCACACTTACATTTGTCATGTCAAGTTCTGTTTAAGTAAAAATTAGCTAATCAGACACACAAATGCGTAATAACTTTGCTTTAATTGGGATTGCATTAGCATCATTATCAGTAGCTAATAGCATTTGGCAGTGTTTGTGAGACTAAAACAAATTAATAGACTAAAGTTTTTATTTTTCACCAGAAGTTTCTATGAGCACATATTTGTGAATTTATGAATCAGTTTATGTATACTTGTTTTACCAAAACATTAAAGTTGAGGGAAGGGAAGTAAAGTTGAAGTTAGAAAATAACTACTTATAATATGATTTTTTTTTTGTTTAAAAAAGGGGTGTTAATGGAATTACATCAAAAGGCAAATGACAATAGCACAAACTTCACCAAGAGCAATGCAATAGGGAAGGTGACAAAAATTTAATAAAAACAATTACAAAATTTAAAATGAGACACAAGATATATTGCTAGGAATTAAAAAAAAATAGAGACTATATTATAGAGACTTGCTTCCAAAATATGGCTCAGTTTTCCTTGTTTATTCATTCTGCAAATTGATATAATATGTTCAACATAATATCCATGGTAGTTAAATATTAAGTGTTTTGAGAACATTGCATGAAAGATACTATAGAAGAGGTGGCATGAAATTCCTGTATCTGTGCTGTGACACACTTTCGGCGCTACTTTGGAACCAGTTAGATGCATCAAGACATTGATATCTTTGGGGCAATAACATGGCATCCCAGAGGTTCTCCTCTCAAATTCTGAAATCTTGGATGACTTTGAAACTCCTTTGAACTCTAGCTCATGGTATTAATTTACCCTTGACTCATATTCTCTGGCATTGTAATGTCTGCTCTAATTGCTGACTGAAGACTCTCCCGCTTTTTGCTGATTTGGGTAGCAATAAGTTACATATCTGGAAATGATGGCAGTTTATGGATCTCCAGAATAGACTCATTCCACTATGCTCCTTTGGCTGTATCGAAGATGTACAAAACACATCTCATCAGCTAAGGAACATCCCAGTATTATATGTAAACAGAGTGTACTGGAACTGGTGCTAATGCCAGTCATTCACACCTTTTCACTGGCTGTCATGCTGACATCTTTGGAATACCAGTGTGCGCCTTAATAGTCAGTCAGTTCCAAAATGATTGAGTGTACATAAGATCTGCCAAAGAAGATTAAACTGTGTAATCCATTGAAGTCTGTTAGTTGTCATGTATCTGACAGATACAGAATATTCTTCCATACTGTCTCAGCCATTCAGGAATAAATTTATATAAATGCCATTTGCCGAGAAAATGGTGGATGCTAAACTGTTACTACATTGGGGGCTTAAGCCAAGCATTTGAGCATGTGCCATTAATTGCTCATTAATATGAAACATCTGCTTTATATAGGTTTTAACAACAGGCATATTTTTGTGTGTATTGCTGGGAATATAGGTATGGTTTCTGTTTTGGACTTGATGCAAGGTGGCTTTCCATCACGAGCAGCATTTCATGAGCTATACAATATGTACAAGAAGTATATGCCTGAAAAACTAGCTCGACTGGACCCTAGACTTTTCTGCAAGGTAACAACAACCTGAATGCCAAATAAATTGTTTATAATTTTTCACTTCATCGAGGATAGAATATATTTCTTTTGGTTGATTGCTTTTTAAGAATGTTTTTTTTTAATGAAATATGAACCAAAATGATTTTTTTCTCATATTACAGGCACTGTTTAAAGCATTGGGCTTAAATGAAAATGATTACAAATTTGGATTAACAAAGGTGTTTTTTAGACCTGGCAAGGTAAATAGTATCTCTTTTCAATTGCAGTTTATGAACAGGGTATTGAAGTCTGTGTTGGCTTCCAAAAAAGAAATGCCTGAGAACAAAACTATATTGCATGTTGAAAATAAAAAGATTATAACACAGAAACAAAGGTTTCCCATTAAAACATATCCATATTCAAATAATCTTTCATTGAATAGGAGCTTTGCTGCTGCTCGAGGAAGAGGCGAAACAATGAAAGCTTTTGTGTCTAGGATTGAGACTTCAGTGTAGAGATGTAATTGTGTTACTCATTGACATAACCCTACAAAAGCTAAAGTTTTTAAAAAATGGCTGCCCTGAGTTTATACTGGTAGGTCAAAGCTTTCAAAAATGTCTTGAGACTTCTCTTTTGGTACCCAACTTCAGATACCTAACAGTGGTATGGTTTACAGAGTAAGTACTAAGGAAGGGGGCACCCCAAATTAGTAGCTTCTTTGGAAAATCTTAACCATAAATCTGTATTTTAGAACCTAAATATGTATCTTCATTTTCAAAAGAATTTAGCACTCAGCCAATCTCAGAAAATGTCTGGCTTGGAAATAGTCATTCCTGTTATCAACAGAACCTATTAACATGCGAAAGCAAAGTTACCTTTTCACGTGTTTGAATTAATTGGTAGTTGAGCTGAAGTTTCCATAGTTACAAGATTCTGTTTACTGTACTGATCTTTTACCTTTGTTCTCAATGTTCTATTAGGTTATAAGGTTGACTGTCTGTTTTCTATGTATTCTTTTGTTATGTAAAACTTGTTATGTATTTAGTTTGCAGAGTTTGATCAGATAATGAAGTCAGATCCAGATCATCTAGCAGAGCTGGTTAAACGAGTCAATCACTGGCTCATCTGCAGTCGTTGGAAAAAAGTTCAGTGGTGTTCTCTCTCAGTGATAAAATGTATGTAATATAATGGTGTTTTGTAGTGAATCAAAATATGCTAACAGAGTGTAGCCCAGCAACTGGATTGTTGCTTTGTAATTTGGAGGGTATTAAGTCACTTAGCCTGCAAATCCTTGCTTGCTTAACTTCAGGCATGCAAATAATCCCGTAGGGGTCAAGGGCGCTTCTCAGTGCTTCATGTTGTGTACATATGCAATCGCTTGACAAATTGGGAACTAAGCGAGCATCACCTTAGAATTTGTTCCAGGATATTTAGAATCTAGAAATTTACACAACTTAATAGCCCTACTTTTTTGAAATAATAGAGCAGACACTCTGCCACTTTATAACAATTACATCTAAGGAAATAGTAGTTTTTGGTGGGCTTTTTATGTTAGAGACTTATGAGGAAAATAAGCCTTTTACCTAATTCACAGATCAACTAAATCTGAAATAGTATATAATCATAGATGAGTATTGGAGAAATGTCATATATTTATCATTCTGAGGCATAACTTTTTAAAAATAAATACTTTGTGGAGTTACCAAACATATATTTGTAGGGAATATAGGGATTCCCTTGAACTATTTACAATTATAAAACCATTCAGATTCATTGAATTTCTTTTGTGTGTTTTCAGTGAAGAACAAAATAAAATACCGAGCTAGTGCCTGCATTAAAATACAAAAGACTATTCGTATGTGGCTCTGCAAGCGAAAGCACAAACCGCGGTAAGAAGGGAGGAATTTCATAAGGTTCAAGAAGTGTTTTTATTAATGTAGCTATGGTCTTATACTTATATAGACATAAGTTGGGTTTGTCAAACTAAGTTTTATACTAAAAATATTTTTAAAGTGTGGCTTTACATTTTGCATTCTTCAAATTGAGTGGATGAGTATCACTTAACAGAAAAAGAATAGAATTATTATGAGTATCCTGGTTAGTCCATTATTTATACACCTTTCTTTCTCAAATAAGGGGTAGTAATATAAACAAGCTACCATGTTAGCAGAGAGCACTTAGCTGTTCTTATTGAACAATTGAAGGGCTAGTATGGAGGATTTTTTATTATTTAAGAGATGCAACATATCATTTAAGACTGCTATAGTTAAAACAAACAGAGAAATATTGTTACTTGTTTTCAATTTGTGTACTTTCTGCATTTGATATCTTTTTACTCTGGACAGCATTTTCCTCTTGTTTTTGTGTGAAAGACCCAAATAAGGAAGAGAGAATCTCTTTATTTTTTAAATAATATTGAAAAAATGCAAAGATGTACACAAAATTATACATACACACACACATATATACACAAACACACTCTAACTAAATCTCATGCTGTTGGTTGTGTTGTGTCTGTTAATTCAGTCCTTCATAGGTGTCTGATTAATTCAGTCCTTTATCCTGGCCCTGTACTGCATAGCTGCTCAGATCTTCCTCTAGTTCTTATAAATATGCCTTGACTGTCTTGCAGTGATCACCTGCTGGTGGGTAGTTGAGTTACTTGTGATGTTACAGGTTCCAGGACTGCTTCTGATTAAGTAACTGGCAAAATTCAGTCTTTAACCACTCAAATGTCTTTAATAATGGTTCCTCTAATATGCTTTTGAGAGAGACTTTGGTCACCGCTAATTGGGTTCGCTATAGTAACAGTGAAAAGCTCGATGTGCCAGTACTCAACCTCAGTGCCATGCAGTTTTCTTTATGTTGGTTTGATTTGCTTGTCTACATAGTGATTTGCTTATCTACAGTAAAACTCCATTGGTCCGGCATCCAGTGCTCCGGCACTCCTGATGGTCCGGCACCATCGGGACCTGGAAGTGCTCCGGGCAGCTGGACAATTGGAGCTGCTCTGTGCCTAGCTTCCCCGATTCAGCTGAAACTGACCAGCAGCTGAATCGTGGAAGCCGGGGGCAGAGCAGCTGGGGTGCTGCTGGGTTGGTCCCACAGCGGGGCAGAGCAACTGTGCCTCAGGCTTCCTGGATTCAGCTGCTGGTCAGTTTCAGCAATGGCTGACTTGGGGACCAACCCGGCAGCACCCCAGCTGTTCTGTCCCAGGCATCCCCCATTCAGCCGCTGCTGAAACTGACCAGCAGCGGCTGAATTGGGGATTCCTGGGGCAGAGCTGGACTATCGGAAGGGGGGGGGGTCTATGAGGAGTCTGGGGTGGCATCCCTCCCACCGCAGACCCCTCATAGCCCTTCCTTCTGATAGTCCGTTATATCTGATAATCTGGCACTCCCTGGGTCCTAAAGGTGCCGGATTATCGGAAGTTTACTGTACATAGAAAACAAACACTATGGCTACGTCTACACTAGCGGCTTCTTGCGCACGAACATCCATGGCAGTGTGGATGCTTTCTTGCGCAAGAAAGCTCTGATGGCCATTTTAACCACAGGGGCTTCCTGCGCAAGAATTTCATGTTTTCTGTCTACACTGCTCTCTTGTGAAAGAGGGCTTATTCCTCATGGGAAGAGGAATAACTCTTCTGGAAGAAGCCCTGTTTTACAATGCTATACTGTAAATTTACTTGTGCATGAATGCTCGTGCAGTGTAGACAGCCAGGCAAGTTTTTGCGCAAGAATGGCTGTTTTTGCACAAGAAGCTGCCAGTGTAGCCGAGGCTGATAGGCGTTTGCTAAAGTACATTAGTGTGTTGCACATTAATTGGTCTCTGTGGACCCTGCCATTGTGAACTACAGATTTCCTAGTATAATTTAATGTAGTACTGTTTCAAAAAGTCCTATGTAAAGCACACCAGCAAGAGCCTACATTATTGTGCTTTAGAAATCCTATCCCTATTGCTCATGTTATCCCATTCCAACCTGTGTAGACATGCCCGTAGTTTAAACAGCTTATTTTAAAAGGGAAAACCAAATTAGTAATTAATGTTACTATTTATTGATACTTTAAAAATATATTTATCACATACTTCACAAAAACATATATAAATATAGTGATCTGGGCTTTTTTATATTCACAGCATCGATGGCCTAATTAAAGTGCGGACATTGAAAAAGAGGCTTGATAAATTTAATGAAGTAGTAAGTGCTCTGAAAGAGGGAAAACCAGAGATGAGCAAGCAGATCCAGGATTTGGAGTTGTCTATTGATGCGTCGATGGCCAAGATTAAGGTATAACAGCAATAGAATTTTTAGATGGTTTTTAATTTCATTTGAAATAGAAGGCCAAAGTCTTTATTTAATCTAGAGTTTTTAATATAGGTGCCTTTAGTCAGGCTCCTAAATTCACATTTAGGTATGAAAATATAGAGGCTTGATTTAATGAGGGGTTGTGCACTGCCAAATCTCCTCAAATTTAGTTGAGTGCTCAGCATGACTACAAGGAAGACCACTTATTTGGCATCTAAATCCATATTTAGGCACCCTAACACTAAACATCCAAGTTGGAACATATAGTCTTAATGCATATTGTGCTGGATCCTTTTGGTATTGTCAGATAAATATATTAAATTAATAATTGAATAATATAAGAATTAAGAATGCTGGGAAATATGGTGCTTAGAGTAATGTACAGTAGCAATGTTTTAAAATAATAGGGGTTTTGTTATTACTTCAATTGCTTAATAGAACATGATGCTTCAGAGGTTTTACCTAACCATCAAGCCAAAGAAGATTACCACAAGGCTAGTTATGTTATCTAACAAGACTAAATGTTTTCTTTTTGCTTATCTCTGAGTCCATGTGTTGTTGAGTTTGAAAATGCCTTCTGAGCAGGTTTGAGTATGATACCTGATTGAAGAATTTCTGGGAATAGTAGGTTTACCTCAGAAGAATAAAAAGTATGAGCACTAGGAATAACATAAGGAGGCTCTTTGTTTCATTTCACTGAAGCACTGCCCAACTTCTTTCACTATATATGGCAACTTATTTCACTATAATTAAAGGATTTTGTCAAAGCTGATAGCTTTGAGATTTGGCCCAGTGGCTCTTTCATAGAAAGTGTAAAAAAAAACCAAACCAACCCTGAGATTAACTCCTAGTGGGATTCAGGGCTGGTTTAAATGCAGACAGGTATGTGTGCGTGCGAGTGCACAGGGTGTGGGAAGAGATCATAGATGCTGGAACTGGGGCAGTTGCCACACCCCTTGGCTTGAAGGGGTTTACAGTTTTGTTCAGTATCTCTTAATATCCCCATTATACAAATTGTTCCAGCACCTCTGGCTCCTGTCAGTGCTGCACATGAGAGAATGCAAGTACTAGAAGTGTTGTCGGAGGCTGTTTTGGCTCTCAAAGGTCTGGAATGGCATCGCAGCAAGTTCTGGCTAGTGACAAGCTCTGGGCTCAGGACCACTGCCTCTGACACTGTTTCTCTGTGTGTAAGAGGTGTAGCTCTGCCTTGTGTTTAGGACCCAGATTGTTTTACTTCATCCCTGGAGATATTTTTGAGGAGTTTGCTATACTATAATAAGGTATTAAAAAGAGATCTTAGATACCAATGAAAAATAACTGTGTGGCCACTGATAAGTTCACCCTCTTTTAGGAGCACTTCCACTTGTGCCATGAGTGAGACACATTTATGTTTCTCTGTTCTTCTGTTCCTCCTGTTGTTGTACCAAATAAAAGCAAGAAGGATCTTATGAGGGGGATAAGGCAAAAAGCCACATTTATTGTAAAGATAATAATAAAAAATAAAGAAGAGATAGAAGCAAACAACGTTGTTTAACTACTTATTCCTAACACTACTTAACCCTTATACACTTGTGTATATAGATATAGATATAGATATAGATATAGATATAGATATAGATATAGATATAGATATAGATATAGATATAGATATAGATATAGATATAGATATAGATATAGATATAGATATAGATATAGATATAGATATAGATATAGATATAGATATAGATATAGATATAGATATAGATATAGATATAGATATAGATATAGATATAGATATAGATATAGATATAGATATAGATATAGATATAGATATAGATATAGATATAGATATAGATATAGATATAGATATAGATATAGATATAGATATAGATATAGATATAGATATAGATATAGATATAGATATAGATATAGATATAGATATAGATATAGATATAGATATAGATATAGATATAGATATAGATATAGATATAGATATAGATATAGATATAGATATAGATATAGATATAGATATAGATATAGATATAGATATAGATATAGATATAGATATAGATATAGATATAGATATAGATATAGATATAGATATAGATATAGATATAGATATAGATATAGATATAGATATAGATATAGATATAGATATAGATATAGATATAGATATAGATATAGATATAGATATAGATATAGATATAGATATAGATATAGATATAGATATAGATATAGATATAGATATAGATATAGATATAGATATAGATATAGATATAGATATAGATATAGATATAGATATAGATATAGATATAGATATAGATATAGATATAGATATAGATATAGATATAGATATAACCATTCATTCATACATCCATTCATTCAAGTTCTGTGTATAGTTACCAGACAATCTTAACAAATAATAATAATAAGAAGAATTAATAATAAATCTAAACACTTTAAGTTGTGGGGAACAAATTATGGGGAGTCACTTCCATTTGGGGGAATCATTTTCAATACATTAATATGTTATCCCTACACTGTGTACTGTATATTCCTGATAAAGCAGATGAAATATGTAGAATTTTTCATATTCATTTACTTTCAGGAAATTGGTTCTTGGTTATTTTATCCCCTCCCCATCAGAAAAGGAGAGCAGGCAGCTAGAACAAAGGGTCATTGAGACTGATGCATGCTGAAAAAAACTTAAATATTAGAATTCACTGTGAATGGTTCTGCTGTCTAGGAAGATGAAATTTTAGCAATGGTTCCATGCAATGGGATAATATCTTTTTGACATTTAAGATCCCATTTAAAAGGAGACTGAAGATTTTAACATAAAGCAGATAATTTTTATCTTAGCCAAACTTTCTAGTGCCACCTTGAAAAAAAAATAGTCGTAAAAAAGATGAATCTTCTATTAGAAGTAGTATAATCATTAATGAATAAATTAATGATTTACTTGGGATTGATCATGCAGGGGATTGGGCTACATCAGGGCTACTCAACTTTAGAAGCCCCAGGGGCCACAATGATTCTCCTAGCACATGCTGAGGGCTGCAACTTAAATGTGGTTGCATATACATGCAAATATATATGCAAATAGCTTCTTTCACACGGATGGGCATGAATACAAAGATTAAGGCAAGACTACACAACTCGCAGGCCCCATTTAAGTCTGTTCTGCTGATATTAATAAAATGCAATATTTACCTGATTTCTACCCATATGACAGCACTTTTAATGACCAATGACAGTCCAGGAATTTAACTACTAAAACGCATATCAACAAAAAACAGTTATATTGACTACTCTTTTGTTTTGGCTCCCAGCGGCGGGCCATGTGTTGAGACCCACATAAACCCAAACTGCCCCACAGGCCATAAACGAACGGGTCACAGGCCGCGTGTTGAGTAACCCTGGACTAGATGCTCTCCTGAGGTCTCTTTCAACCCTAATCTTCTGTTGTTCTAGTAATATAATCCACTATATTTTTGTATTTTATTTTCCAGGCCACTGTCATGACTAGACAACAGATACAGAAAGAATACGATGCTCTAGTTAAGAGCTCAGAGCAGCTTCTGAGTGAACTACAGAAAAAGAAGCAGCAAGAGGAAGAAGCAGAAAGGCTGCGACGTATCCAGGAGGAAATGGAAAGAGAGAGGAAAAGACGTGAAGAGGAGGAGCAACGTCGCAGAAAGGAACAGGAAGAAAGGCGACTGTGAGTGTTGAATCTACGTGATTAGTTCTGGATTAAAAAAATAAAAAGAAATGGCTATCTGACCTGTTAGAGTAGCACCAAGAGGCCCTGATTCAGCTTGCAGTTCTATTGTGCAGACATGGTCCTTGCCCCCAAGAATTTACAGTTAAATATAGACCAGCCTGACAGATGGAGGAGAGAAAACTGGGGTCAGAGAGAGATGAAATGATACCTCAGGCATAGCTGGGAATAAAAGGCCTCCAGGCTCCGAATCCAAATTGGACAACTGTGCCTCTCAAGTTGCTATTTAGATGAATTTATGTGAGAGGATTAGAATCGTAGAACTGCAGTATTATCTAGACTATTCCTGACAGGTGTGTGTTTGCCCTGCTCTTAAAAATCTCCTGTGCTGGAGATTCCTCCCAGGAAATTTATTTCAGTTCTTATGTGTTTCTTACTGGTTGTATACTCTAATTTATGTAATTATCAAATGCTTTCTCTCTTCTTGTATTAGAAAAGCTGAGATTGAGGCAAAGAGAAAACAGGAAGAAGAAGAGAGGAAGAAGAGGGAAGAGGAAGAAAAACGTATTCAGGTAACATTTTAACTGATATTTCCTGATATTCCATTTAACTCATCCTGTTAGGATGTAAGTGTAGAGGTTCCATTCCCAAGATGATAAAACAGTGTTAGGTTACCTTAAGTACTAACAAAACCAAAGAGTGTAATTATAGTTAGTTAATTAAATTACTGCAGAAATGGGGAAGAAGGAGAAATTTAATAATGATACTACGAACAAAAATTTGCAGGAAGATAAGTATGCGTGAATGAGTGGCAAAGAGATAGGTTGTCCAACATGGCAGGAGCTGCCGCATAGTTTTGTGCAAACAGTGTTCAGTTTGTGTACAACCGCATCAAGGAAAACCAGTGATAGAGAAATAGAGGTTATTTATGAGAGCTGAGCATATACAAGTCTATAGAACAGAGTCTTCAAATTCATGGGGACTCATTAGTGTTCCTTGTAGATATGACTGACCATTAGTTACCTATATGGTGGGTTCCAACCTGAGGATTAGTGAAGTTCTGGTATACTTACCATTTACATGTCACAGTTCAATGAAATGCAATCATGTAATAAAAAGACATGATAAGTAATGGTTAATTTAAGGTAATTTTTAAAATTTTAACTCTGAATATTATGGTTTAAATTTTAAAATATTGGCCTAATATGACATTCAAATAATGTTGTGTATTGAAGTAGCTATATACAGTACTTGAAGAAGAAAAATACTTACTTGTAGCAAAGTGCCATATTTCACAGCTGGAATTTAATGAGAAGTTTATAATTCATAGCTGTGACATAATAGTGAAATCTGACCTTAAGGTATTTGTATTTTTTTAAATAAGTTAATTTAAAAGTGATATGCCATGGCTTTGTTAAATTGGCCTACAGTTAAGTAACTGTAAAATATAATATTGCTAGCTGGAGATAGGTATAATGTCAAAGCAAAAATATCCTATTTCTGTATATAAGCATTATGCTGTTAATATAAATGAATATTTAGAGATTTTGTAATTTAGAAGTAATCCAATCCAGTAATAGTATAACAAGCTTGCAAAAGAGCAATGTTGTTTTTGAATGATTGACAGAATTGCCATTGATACCAATCCTATCTACCTTCCCAACCACCTTCACTTTCCTTCTGTTCATAACAGACTATTAATCAAATGAAAAACATATAAAGCATACAATTAATTTCCTTTGTTAATTTTGGAGTTCTTCAGATGCTATCTTTGTCACTTACACTTTCCTGAATCCTAGAATAATTCAAATGTGTGAAATATTGGAGTCTTTTAACGTGCACACCAAGATTACTGTCCTGCTTGTTCCTCAAAGAAAACATGTTTTTTCCTCACTAGTGATGACAGGTTATAGAAATCTTCTCTCGGCATTAAGAATAAGTAATGGCTAAAGCTGCAAATATCAGGTCTCTCCTGGGTCATCCAATGAAGGCACTGGTCTTTGCCTTTTTATAGTTTAGATAGGAGGTCAGTATTGTCTAGCAGCATTACTAAAATCATGTTTCAGTTTTACACTACTAAAAGCCATGCCAGTTGCTACAGTCTGGCCGTATCAATGAAGATAGCAATCCTAACACAAATCTAGACAATTCCAGGATGTTATCAAGGGGAACAAAACTATCTCATGGAAGACATCTTTTAGTTGCAAATATATCATCCAAAAAGATAGATGTCATCCAAATCAAACTCCATCCTCCTAGGTTCATGAACACACTGATAATTTCTCCTCCCAAATTAAGAACAGAACAACAGCCATAAGGGTCCACCTAGCCCAGTATCCTGTCTTCTGACAGTGGCCAGTGCTGGGTGCGGTGCAGAGAAGATGAACTGAACATGTCACCAGCAGGTCATCCATCTTGTCACTTGTTCTCAGCTTCTGGCAAATAGAACCTAATAGTTACTGATGGACCTACCCTCTATGAATGTATCTAGTTCTCTTTTGAACCATTTTATGGTCTTGGCAAAAAGTTCCACAGATTGACTGACTGCATTGTGTGAAGAAATGCTTCCTTTTGTTTGTTTTAAATCTGCTGCCCTTTAATTTCATGTGGTGACCCCTAGTTCTTGTGTTACAAAAATGGATAAATAACACTTCCTTATTTACTTTCTCCATGTTCAGTCATGATTGTTTAGGTCTGTCATATCACTCCTGTGTTGTCTCTTTTCCCAAATGAAGACTCCCAGTCTTATTTATCTCTTTGTTGCTCATTTTCCTATTCCAATACATCTTTTTTGTGATGGGGCAACCACACCCATATGTAGTATTCAACATATGGGTGTACTATGGTTTTATGTATAGGCAATATGGTATTTTCTGTCTTCTTATCTATCCCTTGCCTAATTATTCCTAATATTCTGTTGTTTTTATTGGCTAGGTTGATTGATGTTTTCAGAAACTATCCACAATGGCTTGAACATCTCTTTTTTTGAGTGGTAACAGCTAATTTAGGTCCCGTCATTTTGTATGTATAGTTGGAATTATTTTTTCTAGTGTGCAGTACTTTGCATTTATCAGCATGGTAGTCTAAGCTTTTTTATTATTTAAAATTCTTACCCATAGTGATGTTAGAACCTTCTGAATTAGAATGTCACCTGTTTGTTCTTCAAACAAACCTTGAGAGTTGCCTTCTGGGAAGGTAGCCGCCAAGAGCAAATTGTCTATGTCCTGGCAGGAGCTGGGTGCATTTACAACAGTACTGTTGCAAAAGGGAGAGAGAGCCTTGAGATTTCAGCATAGAGTGCTTTGACTTCTATCCTCTGTGAATTATGATTTCTTCCAAACTTTTCCCTCATTTCTAACTTGCTGCCATCCTTTCTCTTCCTGGCCTTCGTGCTCCTCTCCACTCGTGCTCACAGTACTCTGTCCCGCCTTTCCCCTGTTTACTCCTTCCCTTAACTCACCCTGGTCCACACAGCAGTAGCAAACAAAATTTTGAAATATCATGACATATATAATGAATAGATTAAATCTCTGATTGAAGTACAAAAGGGCGACAGCATTAATGGATGGTGCTGGGACCAGTATCTCAATTAAAATAATAAATGCTGTCAGACTTCATCCTATTGATATAAAAATACCTGTTGGTCGGTGTTTGTCTGAATCTAAGCCCTTCACTCAAGATTGTCCTAGTTGCTCAAAGTCAAGGGATACACGATTTCTGTTCAGAAGTAGTTAAAATGGATTAAATTGCATTCACTGAGGAAGTAAGTGTCCCACTGCTAGAAAGAATTTAAGAATTGATCACCTAGCACCATGAGTGACTATGTGGCTTGCATATGTTGTATTTCTGTGTCTGAAATTTGTATGTCTGCAGTGTGATGTACATCTAACATTTCTACTTGGTGCCTGTCACTCCGTCATGGGTCTAGCACAAATGCCCAATCCAGGAGGATATTTCTTTGGCCTATATAAAGTTAATTACTTATTTCTCCTTCTGTTGATTGCTACCACTAAATTCTATCTAAAGTCAGACCCTGCAGAGCCTAGTCTGTACCTGGCAAATTAATTGAAACTATAGTAAAGAATAGAATTGTCTGACACATAGATGAACATAATTTGTTGGGGGGGAAAAGTCAACATGGATTCTGTAAAGGGAAATAATCCCTTAATAATCCTTGGAGTTTTTTGAGGGGGTCATCAAGCATATGGACTAAGGGGTCCATTGGATATAGTTTACTTAGATTTCCAAAAAGCCTTTGATAAGGTCCCTCATGAAAGGCTCTTAAGTAAAGTAAGTTGTCATGCGGTAAGAGGAGAGGTCCTCTCTTGGATTGATAACTGGTTAAAAGACAGGAAATAAAGGATAGAAATAAATGGTCAGTTTTCAGAATGGAGAGAACTAGTGGTTCCCCCCCAAGGGTCCATATTGGAATCAATCCTAATTAACCTATTTATAAATGATCTGGAGAAAAGGGGTAAACAATGAGGTGGCAAAATTTGCAGATGATAGTTAAGAACTGCTCAAGATAGTTAAGAACAAAGCAGACTATGAAGAGCTTTGAAAGTATCTCACAAAACTAGGTGATTGGACAACAAATGAAATGAAATGTTGTTAAATGTCAAGTAATGCACATTTGGAAAAAATAATCTCAACTATACATACAAAATGATGGGGACTCATTTAGCTATAACTACTCGAGAGAGATCTTGGAGTCATTGTGATAGTTCTCTGAAAATATCCACTCAGTGGGCAGCGTCAGTCAAAAAAGCTTTGGCTCCATCAACTCTTTTTGCCTGGCTCTCATGCCTAATAGAATTGTGAAGAGACCTTGATATGCAGTATGTATGGAATAATTCTCACCTTTTGAGTTACGAGGTTATAATTCAGTTAATGAGTTTAAATGGTTTGGTAAACCATATTGGGAAAGAAGTTGCAATGGAAACTATTGTTCCCTAATTCATTTCTTGATTTACATGTGTCAGAAAACTATCCCTGTGCTTTTTCTGTTTTTACTACTGCCACTGTCTTTCCTCATTGATACTTCTGGCTGTTACCTCCTCCCACTCATCTGTAGCAGTCACTTGAGATGTTTTCCCAGCTGTTGCAGTGGCTTTTCTGTGATCATTGACGGTATCCTTTCTCTAGCTGAAAGTATAATTTGCTCTTCAGTCACACTGGTGATGTGAACAACTTTGAGCAATCAGTGAATTTTGCATACCCAGTGGTGTGCTTAATTCCGTAAGTTTATATTTTGTTTTTTCTTAAATTCACTGTTGTAAGTTCATCAGTTACCTAATCGTTGACCTTTGTGTAGTGGTTTCTCATGGTGGGTGGCAAGTATAAAGCATTTAATAAAAACATGGTTTTTTATGATGCAGGTTGAAATAGAGGCACAACTAGCTAGAGAACGTGAAGAAGAGACCCCAAAACTAGATGACCGAGAACTTGCGATGAGAATTGCACAGAGTGAAGCGGAGCTCATCAGTGATGAGGCTCAGCTTGATTTAGGATTGCGCAGGTATGGTCATTTTGCCCTTTAGATTTTTTATTTACAGATCTTCTTCTCACAAAATACAGAGCTCTTGCGTTTTTAATTAAGAAATTAAGGTAAAATCAGGTTTTCAGATCAATATATTGGAATATTTTCCAAATAATGCTATCAAATTTGTTGAAAAAATAGTTGCTTTGTCTTAAAATCTCTTAGTCAATTTGCAATGTGCATATAACCCTGTGTAATCCCTATTTTGACCTTGGTGGAGTACCTAGATGTGTGGACAGCCCCAAAGTTTCTACCCCCTGGGTTCATTTCACAGTGCTACTTATAAGGTAGCTGTCCTTTCCTCTTGGTGTACAAAAGAATTAAGCTACTTTTCGGGGCTTCCAGTGAAACAAGTGGCTAATTACACAAAGGTGGTGGACTGAACACTTAAACACAAATAATCAAACTTATACAAGCAAACAAAATAAAAATAACTAAACT